CAGCAACGGCTGGAGAGACAAGGCTACGTACACTTTCAACTATCTCAGTGACAGTCAGCATATGACGCCGTCGCTGCAGTCGTTGCTGGAGTCTCTTGTTACGTTTCCGAAGCTGTCGAAGTCTGGCCCTCAACACGTCCATTTCCCCTTGCCGTCGGTGCAGATGGCACAGGACCCTGCAAGGGGAAAGCAAAAGCAATTATGAAACATTTCGAGAAATAATGAAATAAACAATGTGCCTCCACTGTAGAAAATGTGGAAGTACAACTTTGTGCATCATGACGGACACCTACGTCGGTGAGGAACCGCAGAAGTCGAAGACACCGACGCATCATTACCGGTAGGGGAAGGTTCAGGTGCCCACACATCGTTTCCTCCAGACGGCGGGCCATGTCCATCCATCGCGCCTTGCATCGCGTATGTGTGATCCACTACAAGAAACAAAACAAAGGAAACAAAGTGACAGTGTGGTTGCAAAAAGCTGAACCAGCTATCACTGGTCAAGTACTACGCAACAAAGTAATCTTCAAAGACTGTCCTAAACAACGCACACTATGAAAACTTACCATGAACTCTGGTTGAAGGTCTAGTCTTCGTGCCAGAGGTCAGAGCCGTGAGACTGCTCCCCACATCTGCAAAGCAATGACGAGGCAATAAAAAATCTCAAAAACATCAGTCATTGTATTGTTTCAGGAAATTCCTGCGGCATGTGACAAGCTGTATCCCGTTGCAACCTAAGAACGAAGGGCGAGGGTAGGACAGGCCGGGGAGGAAGAAGCAGACGGAACGCTGGAGAAGAGAGAGGAAAACCTCCTTCTCTCTTTAGTGCTCCGTCTGCTTCCTCCTCCCCGGCCCGTCTTACCCTCGCCCTTCGTTCTCAGGTTGCAGCGGACTATAGATTAAAAACATGGTTATACATGTTTTACATGTTTCCCAAGGATGGCTACTACACGACAGTCCGAAATATATAAGAAACAAGGCCTGCAACACTCCTCCGCCAATATGCAATTGCTTTTACCTTCTTCTGTAGTGTGGTGCGTGTGACACCGTGATGATGTGGGCCCATCGGTGCTACTGCTGCTGGCCAGTGTGGGCTCGCCCTCGCTAGTCAATTGGCCAGGGCTGCTGCTCTGGACGGCATCTCCGGCACCTATGCAAAGTTAAGCACACACGTTATGTGCACTAAAAAAGTTCCCTGTATCTGCATGTAAAATACTTTCTGAATAAGCTCATCTTTTCAAAGTTGGTCAAAAGACCAACTTTTCAGAGAGCTGCGTGTAGTGAAGATATTTGATCACTATGCTTTCAGACTTAGCATAAAGTATAAACAGGAATGTCGCGAGTTAAACAGTTTTTTATTGTCATTATCATCACTTCGAAAAAAAGCTGCAACATATTCCACCCGTCACTCCGATGTTTGGGCAGTAGAAACGTCACGAACAGATTATGGCCTCCAAATGATTAAAATAACCTTGCCAACATTACTGAACACTCTTATGGGCTCTAATTTTGGTGTCGAATCTTCCAATATGTATACGCTTAAGGATTATTTTCTTTCTAGTTAAACAATCCTTACTGCTGTTGATTAGCTAGAAGATTTTTGCTTTTGTTCTTGTTTCGTTAATTTTTTGTTGTTAAGTATTTTGTAATATATAAATTCTTGTGTATGACTTCCCCAATGCTGTGTACCTGTGGAAGGCTGAGGACCAGTCAAGCTGCTTGCACAGATTTTTTCCTCAGCTCCCACCATACTTGTATGGTAAAATAAAGTCATTATTATTCTCAGTAACAATGAAAACAATATTTCGTGCTCACCCTCAGTGGTCAAATATGCTGGTATTGCATCCCGACGCAGCCTTCCTCGGTAAAGAAATGCAGAGGGTTTGAAGTTCCTGGAGCATACCGCCCGTTCCCGCAGCTGCTGTAGTGTCTTGTTCTGTAGGCTTGTGTTCCGGCAGAACTCAACCCAGACCCTCCGCCTGAATGTGAAGCAGTGCATTACTTTACATACCCTTGGCTAAAGTGGACATTTAAGAAAGAAAAGATTACACAATAATGTTAGCGATAAACTAGTCACATCATTGTACTTGGTCTCCCGTCTGGGTCCAGCGAACGCCATGAGCGCGGAGCACACCTCTGTGCCCGTGAGGTTAGATAGGTTCACAACGCAGACGATTACATTACTAGATTCCCGAGCACGACATCTACAGCAAGTAGACCTGATAGTCGCCAGCACGTTAGAGGGACGACACCAAACACGTTTCAAGCAGAAAGGACGTTTTAGTGTTATTCACACCATATTATAAAAGTTCGTTAAAACTGAAATGTTCAGTCATTGTTTCTTATTAGGTTTTTGGGGTCACGCAGCCGTTCAGCAGAGGTCAAGCAAAGCCGCCACTAATATCTAAGATTAGTTTCGTCTCGCGAAGCTTGGAACGGAGACTGGGCCCAAAAAAGCTCGATCAACGGGTGCTTATTACTAAATAAGCATGCATGAGGGCCCATAGAAGAGGTCAAGAGCTTACCAGACATCACCGGACAACGGACATCAGGACATCACACATAGTTGCAGCGGACACAGCTGCTACAAGCTTCACCTTGCAGCGTCTACAGGAAAACGATGGAGTGTGATGCCAGCGGTGCAGTCATCACTTGGGCATCGCGCTACCGCGCAGCGCCTCTTTACATGGGGCGGGCGCATTGTCCCGACGACAGAGCCTTGAACGCGCCCGTCCGGCGCTCGACGACAAAAGCAACAGAACGGCGCAATAGGATTCAACTAGTACAGACCGTTCGTGGGAAAACTTAAGACCACGAAGTCGTTTTAAACTATTGCAAAAAGTGAAAGTTCGACGGGAGCTACAAAAATGTAGGCGCACTGGCGAACGCAAACAATGCAAACACGAGGCGTATCAGGACTGCGAACTTCTGCTGACGGCGAAAAATAGCGACGTTGTAGATGTCGCAACAAGTATGCACAACATAATACATATTGAACATAACCTGAAAAATTCACCACTCTAAGCATGTTTAAACTAAGTTATTATTAATATATAATACTTTGATTTAAAGTCAACTATATAAGACATTGAAAGTGTGTCTTTAATATTTTATCAGTTTAGTGTTTGGCCGCGCAAAACATAGTCGCGCTGCGGTAGCGCGGCCTCCAGGGTGATGACGCTAACGATTGGTTTTGGGCCGCTTTTTTGCTCCACTTTCGCGACGTATATGCATGTAGGCCACCATATATGTTTAAAAGAGGCCGACATCGTGGCAGTCGACGCACGAAAACTTGTGATTTTACGATAAAAACAAAGAGATTGTCTTTAATCGAAAAAAAATAAAAAGTTTTACACAGTTACGCAACGCTCGACTCTTCACTTATTGGACACAAGTGCCAGACGAACGTATAGCTCGAGTAGATCAGAGTTACCCCCGCGGGTACAATCACGTGATCAAACATAGCGCGACGTCAGCGACTAGCCCATGTATTTCGTTTCAGCTAAGGTCAAGACGCAGCCGAAGTTACAAGTTCGTGGAGCCAACCAAGCAGCTTGAAAAGCGCAAGTCATTTGGCCTTTTCTGTATATGGTTGGTTCAGCGATGATAAAACACGCACAGAAACATGACGTAATGATAGCGCGCTTTTGCCGCTGTCTGATTGGTGCGATCAGGTCGTAGCGTCGGCTGCGTCTGGATTTAAGGTGAAACGGAGTATAGCCATAACCTCCTAAATACTGGCCAAGCCTGGCAGATCGCCACGAGAAGCGGCCGCCGAAACGGAAAAGGGGCAGCGGCAGACAACGGATGTGAGGAGCGCCACGTGACTGGCGCCCTAGTGCGACGAGACGCCGAAACACACTTCTCCCGAGGGAACAAGTGTGTGTTCGGGTCCTCGCCGCTGCAAAAGCTGTGCGCTGACGTCCAGGCTTCCCAAGAAATGTTTATTTGACGCTCTGTGCTTCCAGATCCTCGCGCTCCAAATCTGCAACCGGGCACTCTATGGCTCCGTCGTCGAACCGCCAGGCTTTGTGAGTGTAGAGGAGGCTACGGTAGAGCGTGCTCTAAACGAGCAAGCACCGGGGCTTTCCGAGTTCCTTCCGAGGGCACCAGCCCTCTTTTTTTTTTCTCTTTGTTTTTTTTCTTTGGGCGCTTTTTGGATAGCATTGCTCACAAGTAAACCAGAAACTGGACCAACTCCTTCATCTTATTTGTTCCGGTATGTCTCGTTCTCGGAGTTACAGTGCCGGAGTTTTCGCGGCGCCTGAGATGGCGATGCTGCGATCGCATGCAGCCGCACGCTGGTTCACATTTTGTAGTACAACTGCCTGTGCCATAATAGATGAGGAAAAGGGCTATTTTTTGTAATGGATTTGCCTCAGTGAAAGGTACATAACGCAACTGATTGTTAGCGGGTAGATTTTGGTAACAATCACGCCGATTCGTGAGTAAAATCTAAATTTCATTGAGTGAGTAAAAAAAAAATGTTTCAGCAAACGGCCAATATTTTTTTTTAACGCAAGGGTTTGTTGAAGCATCTGTATATCATATACGGATGCATCAACAAACCCTTGAGTCTAAAAAAAGGATTGGCCGTTTGATGAAACATTTGTTTTCTCAATGAGGTTCTAATTTTACTCAAGAATCGGCATGAATATTGCCATCTTGAAATATCACTAGCTCGCTTGTGTTTCAGTTTTATGAACCGTATTTAATAGCATCAACGTGGCCCCAGCCCCATAAAATTTAAAATAATAATAAAAAAAACATAATCTTTATTGCTTTAAACGCGAAACTTAAGGACTACTTTGATACTGCAGCCAAAGAAGGGATCACTAGCGGAAATATTCCCAAGCCTTTCCCTCGAAAAGTGGACACTGAGAAATCTGAGCTTGATTAAAAAATATCTCCGAGGGAGAGCTGGACTGGACAGATTAGATCCAGGCTACTTTGCTCCTGTCACCCTGAGATAACACTGCGGTGGTTGGGAAATCTTTGCCATATAGAGTGGCCCCAACGAGGGACACACTTTAGTTGAAATTCTGCAGTCGTCGCTTTGAGTCTTTTTGGAAGGCTTTCCGTCTTAGAAGACTGCCTGTACACAGATCCACGACGAATAGGTGCGAAGTTGGACACAAGGTGAGAATTTTGTAATAAGATATAGAATACATGAATAGTTAAAAAAAACGACCCCAGTCTATTCCAATAATAGAGACAGAAGCTTAAGTAGAATCTACTTTGAACATTAGATCTATGGGGAGGGGGGTTTGATTGTTTGTCAGTGACGTCTTTCTAATTGCACTAGAGCGATTGTACTTCACGAGTTGTTTTCAATTGAAAGGTGCGACTCAGACAGCTTCAAAGGTAATATTTCAAAAAGAGCTATTTCTTTAATTATCCTGTTTAAAAAAAAAAAAAAATTCGGCGGTAAATAAATAAAAAAGAAAAAAACGAGGGGGAATAGCAGGTCTCACGACGCAGCTCAGTTCCAACTACCAAAGTAACAAATTCAATATTTAGCCTGTAAGCTTGTGGTCATTAAGATATATTTATTTCTTTCTGCTTGCAGACAAACGTCAGGATGAAGACACTTATTGTGCTCATGTGCTCACTAGTCGTCGTTTGGGCTCGTTACGAAAATGAAATGAGGCTTGCCAACAACCGATTCGCGGTGGACCTTCTTAGAGGCCTCCCCAGTTCCCCAGAAAAGAACATCTTTTTCTCACCCTACAGTATTTCAACAGCGATGGGGATGGTTTTCGCAGGAGCTGAAGGTGAAACTCTAAAAGATTTGTACGACGGCTTTGGTTATCTACGCTCTGGTCTTAAAGAGGACTGGGTATTGCAAGCATACGCGGATCATGCTAAGCAACTCCAGGTTGGGCAATCGCAGTCGACATTCGACGTTGCCAACGCCGCTGCCATTCACGAACGCCTGGCCCTCCTGAGTGCTTACGAGAACACCCTGGATAGCACTTTCCATGCCCAACTACTGAAGGTAGACTTCGTCAACGGTGGGACGGCAGCAGTTGACGAAATCAACAGGTGGGTCAAGCAAAAGACCCATGGCAAGATCGATAAACTTTTCGATGGGGCTCTCGACCCGCTCACAAGGCTCGTTTTGCTGAACGCCATCTTTTTCAAGGGAGCGTGGAGCACAAAGTTCGACGAGAGCGCAACTACTAAGAAGCAGTTTCTGAACGGTGGCACGACTCCAACACAAGTGGACACCATGACGAATAGGATCCGCATTGGCTACAAATCGTTTCCGGCAATGCGGTTGGAAGTCGCAGAATTGCCTTACGCTGGCGGCAACTACAGTATGGTCATATTATTGCCAAGGGGGAGCGAAGGAATAGAAGGATTCAAGCACAATCTGACAGAACATCTTCTGCAAGATTTCATTGGTCACGTTGAGCTGAGGGAAATAACCGTGTCTCTTCCCAAGTAAGTAACCCTGGCAGCATGTCGAAAAAACGCCTAGCTTGGCCCAAGTATGTGCATACTAGGGTAGTAACATCAGTTTAATACAATTTTGCCTCAACATTTTAGGCCGAATAACTTTTTTGTTTTTGCATTAACCGGTTAAATATGGGCTAAGGCTGGCTTTTCTCTGGTTCGCCAGATACAATTAGAGAAGTGCCGGAAATTAGCCAAAGATTCCATGTGAGGACCAAGCAACCAGCAGTGAAGCTTAATTCTGGTAATTGCTCGGAAATTGAGGTCTCAAAATGCCATGTGTTAACTGAATAAATCGGGACTTGAAGCCCAACTCTGGCACTTGTTTGGTAATTTAGGACCGAAGTACCCGAATTCTGTCAAAAGAATATCAATTTCGGTTATACCTTGGCTTCTTGTGGGCATTCAGAGCCCTCAATTCCCAGACAAAAAACTAAATTCTGGCCCAAAGAACTTCGCCTCTTGGGCATAGTTTATGTGAACAATGAGGTTAGACGAATAAGTACTCTATTGTTAATCTATTTTAACTCGAACACATCTGGTAGATGGTGAAGAATTATTTCGTTTGTCTTACTCTTGGTCGACACGCAAAAATGCAGTTTAGTTACTCGGTTAATAATCAATCTAAATTAGACAAGACAAATCGCTTTTCGAACATTATCGAGCTTGTAATAAGGATTTCAAAACCATCTTGTCCATTGATATGTAGATGATAAATCTGCCGGTGGCCAGGTTTGTAATCACCACTGCATAACCGCATCTGAAAATAAAAGGATGGAGGTTTTTAATCTGACTGCATTGGCTACCATCTAGAGAGGGGATAAGCACTCCTTTTTAAGGCACACTAAATTCTGGGCTCTCTATATGTCCAAACAACAAGTTCGACTTAAAAAGGATAAAATCTAATTCACACACTTCCGACTGTCCAGGACCGTGTGCCTTGAAACCTCTTAAAATTTCTTCCGATGGGAGAATTTACCTTGGCGCCACCTGTCGCGTAGCCGTGAAACACTTCCAGTTTCCCTATATATATTTTTGTTTGCGCATTATTCTTTCTTTTTTGGCTTGAAAACCTTTGACAATGTTGTAAACGACCATTTCTCATAAATATTTACATGCATTTGATTTCGAAAATACCAAACAACCTTCGCTCTAGTGAAATGCTGTTCTAGGATCACCGCATAGATTGAGCCAGAGTGCTAATATGTTATCTAGTGATAAGAGATCACAAACGCACGATTCCCCGCAAACGCAATTGTGTGAAATGGCCTTTAGCCTTTAGGTATATGTGCTTTAACTCTTCTCAAACGCTGAGGAGGGTCATCTTTTCGTTTCATTTTCTCTTAAAAAAAAAAAAAAAGGCGGGGCGGGGGGGATCTTGGAAAGGTACTCCATGCAAAAAGGCGAAGTCAGTCGCCCGACGAGGCACCAAGTGTAGTTCGAAACCTGCCCCTCTCCCAGGGCCCGCTTAACAGTATTGCTCTCTTAAGACCCAGACACATTCTTTTTTTGCAGATTCAAACTGGAGACTGAGTATTCACTCAAGGACAACCTGAAGAGGTTGGGAATCACATTGATCTTCGGTGCTCAGGCTGACCTGTCTGGCATCTCGGGCGGTGGTGACCTCGTGGTGTCTGACGTGGTGCACAAGGCTGTTGTGGAAGTCAACGAAGAAGGCACGGAGGCTGCCGCTGTATCGGGAGTCGTCGTCAACACCAGACTGGTCGAAGTACCCACTTTGGAGTTCAACGTCGACCAGCCTTTCGTCTTATTTATTCGGAACACCCAGACTAAAGATTTGCTCTTCGCGGGACAAGTCAACCATCTCTGAAGGAGACCATAACTGTGCACAACGAAAACACGCCACGAAGACAATCTCCATAAAGAAAGAATAAAAACTGCCAACGTTGTCATTCTTGATTTATGTTGCTTGAGTTCAAATCGGTACAGCCATGACCTTGGTAGTTCTCACTGCCATTATATGTATATTGAGGTTGATTGTCTTGTAAAGGATATGGGCGTTTGTGACGAATGCAAATGCCACAACCACCTTCCTACAAATAAGAAAATGAGCCAAACTTTTTTGTAAATAAAACACATTTTTTCACAACTATCGAATTTTTGTGAAGGCCATAAAAATCATTACAAGAAATGTGAAAAAAGTTTACGAACAAAAGTTATTACAGTCATTCGCAGTTTCTCAACGGGGAGCGAACATGGTGGAAAATTCCAGCCTAGTATATCACAATTTGAACCAACTAAGTATTGAGAGTTCAAACCGCTCACGAAACAAATGTGTCGGAATTACCCTGCTACGGAATATAACATGATTACCGTTGTTTATCATATGTTTTTCACTAAGCCACGTGATGACGTGAAGGTTGATTCACACTGTCTAGTGACGAGTTCGCAACTATTAGAATCTGGAATAGACCATTGTGACGAGTTTGTGCAAGCCGCCTGAACGCAAATCACGTGAAGAATTTTTTTTCCCCGAGATGATACGAAAAGAAGCAAAGTCAATTATTAGAGAAATGTTGTGTCTACCAAGGTTCGGAAAGGGCCATCAGGTGTCTGAAGAGGAATGCAGCACACGAGTGGGCGTAAGCAGCTCTGCACTCCTAGAGAGAATATTTGCTTTATATCGGTTTCTTTTTCGACGATGGTTCTGCTTAGAGGTACTACCAAGAAAATTAAAGGTTGATTATACATTTTCTATAAAACTTACCCTTATATTTCAAGCTTTTTGTAGGATGGATCGTTGTGTTTAAGAAAAACTTGGTAACTCAGACAAGATGAAAAACCTATATCCTGACTCGCCAGACAAAACGATAACTGAAAGAACTAGAAGCGTACTGTCAAATGTAAGAATAAAACTAAACGTGCAAATACCAGCCCAAGTATGTTGCATATTATGAAATCAATGGCACTCGCAAAATCAGCTAAAAAGTAAATATTTTATAAAAACACATACTGGCGCTGATTTTTTAGGGTTCTGTATACACCCTCCAAATAAGGGAAACAGTCAAAGATGCTAAAGAGAAACCGTATAAAATAATACCAATGCCACTCGCAACGCCATTAATAGGGAGCCTAGAAAGCAACTAACTGGTATTGAATTTTCAAGATAATACACAAGACAAAAACGTCAGCTTGGATGGCTTTATTAAAGCCCCTCTACGATATTGTTGTGGAGCACCAAAAGCAGCATTTTCGGCTGTTTTCAAGACGTATGCTAATGATATTGTAAACATTTCTTCTGCTAAATTTATGACTTACGCAGATGGTATGAGTATATTTTTGACTGGAAAACTACCTGATGAATTATTTGATCACGCAAAGTCAGTGCGTCTACGGTCAGGGGAATGAACAAAAGATAATGGATGACAAAGAAATGTTCACCAGACAAAAGCATTTTCATTTCGTGGGAAAAACCAAAAGAAAAAAGATCACTAAAACCAAATCAATTACATTAAAGTCTGTTCCTGTTAAGATCGTGCCTTTATTTAAGCTATATTAGGCGTCATATTTCAGGAAGCATAGTCTTGGGAGCAGCATATAAGTTGAGTGATAACAACCTCTCTCATATACTTGGCCTCACATATCGAAATAGGCACATCCTCCCGCGTAATATTATGATGTCAATACATATTTTTTGTTTTCTTCTAGGGTAAATTCTGTAATTTATTTTTGCTTTGACCCTATAAAAAAAATCTGCAGAAAATTCAACTACTACAAGAATAGTCTCTGTGAATGGTAAAAAAATTTGCAATATCATTATCACACACAATCCTTATTTATGAAGTGGAACGTAACGCCAATATGAAAATTTTATGCTTTCTGAATCTGCAAGCAATACAAACAATAAACGAGAAATAACAACGACGGTAGCAAGTTGGCCGAGTTGGTGATTCATAATGATTAAAAAGCGCGACAGGACAAAGGACACAGGAGACACAGACAGCGCTGTGTCTGTGCCTCCTTCTGTGTCCGTTGTCCTGTCGCACTTTTTAATCATTGAGAAATAACACTTGCCTTTTACGACATTTAGCAACTCTAAGAACACACGTTACAACATTTAAAACGGGAAATAGTGAGCCCGGAAAAACAAACACCTGCCAGACAACGTACTGCTTAGAAATACTACAAAACGCACCGGCATTATTTTTAAATCATTGATATAGGAAAAAATTCGGCTATAACATATTTCTTTTAAGGAACTACATAGCCTTTTTTCGCATGCCATGAACTTTGACCTTTGTTTAAAAGCACATATCTTGTTTTCTGGATCCTCTGTTAGTTTATCCTATTCTATGCGGATCAAGCGGACCAAAAGTTTTTCGTCGACGCCATTTATTTATTTTATTTATTTATTTACCCTCAAGGTACATAGTACATTTCAGAGGGGAGTGAACACACAAAAAAATCATGGCAACGAAATTAATCAACTAAGGGTGGTGAAACTAAATGTTTGTTTACAAAGAACGTCAGTGATTGAGGCGTCTGAACCTGGAAGGCGGTTCCAGTTTGTTAACATGCGAGGTATGAATGACACACTGAATGCGTTAGTATTGAAACTTGGTATGCCAACCTTATGGACGTGATCGAGGCGAGCGGAGCGATAAGATGGTTCGAATATAAGTGACTGGCTTAAAAATGAGTTGTGATGGTAGATTTTATGAAACAAGCAGAGACGATTACATTTACGGCGGAGAGATAAGTCAGGTAATGATGGAGTTATTTTCATATTTGTTACACTGGACATGCGATGATAGTTAGATAAGATGAAACGAGCTGCTCGATTTTGGATACTTTCCAATGCAGTGACAAGGCAATGTTGGCCGGGATCCCACACGGATGCAGCGTACTCTAATTTGAAACGGACTAGGCACTTGTACTACATGATTAGTTTCAGCGATGAAGGTGCCTGGTAAAAAATAGCGCTTTAAGTTGCCCATGATACGATTGGCATTTCCAGCAACATAATCAATATGGGTATTTCGTGAGAGATTTGAGGTTATATAGACGCCGAGGTACTTGTGAACCGAAACAGGTGCTGGGGTGTATTGTTAATGTGATATGAGGACAGCTATTAGTGCGTGACACTCTCGTAGACGTGCATTTATTGGTATTTAATTCCATAAGCCAAGCATCGCACCAGTGAGCTATGTGGTTAAGATCCGTTTGGAGATGATCAATATCAGATTAATCAGTGATTTTGCGATAGAGAACGCAATCATCAGCGAACAAGCAGATTGATGAAGAAGTGTTGGATACTAGATCGTTAATATAAATAAGAAACAGTAAAGGGCCAATTACGGAGCGTTGGGGTACCCCTGAATGAACAGACGCCATAGCGGAAATTTTGTTATCACTTACAAATTGTAGACGATTAGTTAAAAAGGCATTTATCCAATTCGGTATATATGGGTCAATATTCGAGGTGCGAAGGTTTTGAATTAGTATAGAAAATGGGAAACTTTTTCAAATGCCTTCGAATAATCTAGAAAAAACACAGTCAGTGTAAGAGCCAGAGTCAAGAAACCGATGAAGATCATGGGTTAAGGAGAGGGGTTGAGTTTCACACGACAGTGATTTTCTGGAGCCGTGTTGTGCTGACGTAAAAAAGTTGTTAGAATCTAAGAAGGTAGTCAGATGAGAGCAGATGATATGTTCTAAGATTTTGCATGGAATAATTGTCAATGAAATATGACTATAATTGCATGGATCGTGTTTGACCCCTGACTTGTGCAACGGAATCACCTTCCCGATCTGTGAGTCTATAGGCACTATACTTGTTTCTAGTGACTGTGAAAATAGCTTACGAAATGGAATAGACGAATACATTTTGGTGTTTTTTTAATTTTTAATTTATTTCGTCAACACCCGTAGATAAAGAAATGTTAAGCCTATCTATTACACTTGAAATGCCAACAACATCGAAAACGACAGAATTGATAGGTAAGAAATCATGCAAAGGCAGTGGAGGTACACCTACGTTACTCTGAGCAGAAAATGATTTGACAGAAACATAATTTACTCAGAAGCACACTTGCTGGCGTCTATGGTTTGCCCATCAGGAAAGATGAACACTGTTTACAGTGTTCTAGAACAGCTGAGGATTATTCCAAGGCATAAAAGGAAGTGTGGTATTAAAAAAAATGTTTCGCATTTTTAACTGCTTTGTCATATTCGGAAGCGGCAGTAAGTTATGCCGCCCAGCGAATTTCTGTGGAATTAAATTTTGCTGCACGGAATAATCTCTTTCTTTTGTTGGACAGTCCTTTAAAGTTGTATTGTGTCATGGCGCATTTTCACGGTTGCGAATTACTTTAGAATGTATATACTTATTCGCTATAAAAAGAGGGACAGAAGTTTTTAACATATTACAATATCTTTCAACTGACAATACCATTAAGAAAACCTACTAGGTAGCCTTCAAGAAATAAACACAAAACCTTGTTGATGGAAGTGAAATTACCCTTGCTGTAGTCTCGAATACGTTTTACTGTTGATAACATTGAGCCCTAGGACGCATGAACCGTGAAGTCTAGTACAGAATAGTCACTAAGTCCAGGTAAGTAGGATATCGATGAAATAGTGTGCGGGTGAGTGGTAAGCACTAGGTCTAACAAAGATGATGATGACGATGATAATCTTGTTGGAGATGCGACTACCTGATCCAAGTTAAAATATGTACATAACGTTATAAACTCGCTAGCCTCAGTTGAAAAGGGAACACAAGAAGGGTATAGCCAGCAGTCCATTTAATACTTCGGTAATTAAAGTCCCCCATCAAAACGATAGGCGAGTCTGGAAACCGTACAATAAATCGGTTGATAGAATCGTGCAACAGACTTGAAAACATTGAATTATTCGTTGGAGGGGCAGTAAGAAACACCAAATATCCATTTTTTTTT